CCCCCCCGCGCCGGGCCCCCCCCCCCTGCCGCTCCCGGGGGCCTCTGGGAGCCCCTCGTCCCTCTCTGCCTGCGCCGGGCTTTGTCCCCGTCCCCGCGGGGGTCGGGGGGCAGCCGGGCCCCGGCAGCGGGCTCTGTGCCGGGCAGCTCCCCGGGGGCACGGCCCTCGCCGGGCCTGGGCAAGGGCAGGGTGCTCTGCTCGGTCTCCGGTGTGCAGGTTGGGGGCCGAGGTGGGCGGCTGTGCCCCTGGCATCCTGGCTGCCTCCCTGTGTCCCCGGCCACCGGACATCTGCTGCCCGTCGCAAGAGCTGCCCGCGGGCAGGACCTGCCTCCTGCTGCAGCTGGGACGCCTCACCCCGGACCGGCCTGGGCGGCTGGTGCTGGCGGGCGAAGGATGGGCTCCCGGTGTGCGGGTGGGCTCAGCGGCACCGTGCCGTGCCCCGGTGGGTCTTGGCTGGCAGCCGGGTCCGCACCGCGCGTGGTGGGGAGCGGGTGCCGGGACGGAGCCGGCAAGTCCTGGCTCTCGGGGCTGCCGCGTGGCAGACAGGTCCCTTGCTAGCCCGGCCACGGGGCTGCCCGCCCTCGTGCCTACTGCATGCTGCGGCCGTCCTCGGTGTGTGACGTCCCATGGGTGCCACTGGGCTTTGCCTCCCTATCCCCACCTCGGTGACCGCTTTGCTCTGCTCCAGCTTGACCCCGGCCCCGCTTCGCCAGCCCCTGCGCGGGGGTCATCCGGTGACACCGTGCCAGGCAGCCTGACCGCAGCCTGGCGTGCAGCACGAGCCACGGTGCCGGTGAGCTGGGTGCTGCCCCCGCCCGAGGCCGGTCTGCACAGGGGCTCGCTCCGATGCGCTGGCCTTCAGCGAGGTCTAACTTTAGCAACTGCAGTCAGACCTCATCTATGCTGGAACGGGACGCCGGTTGTGCCGCGGTATAAATATGTCTGGCCGGTGCCTGAACCGCAGGAGGGGTGTGCGCCTGACTCCTGCCGCCGGCACTGCCGTGCTCGGCTGCCCGGGGGCTTCGTCCCCCTCGTTAATGTGCTCTGAGAAGGCGCCGGGGCCCTGCCCTGCCTGTGTCCGCTGTCCCCGCTCCGGCCCTGCCGCCGTCTACTTCCTTCTTTCTGCCTCTTGTGGTTTGGGTTTTCTTTAATGGCCGCTTTCGCTTCCCTCCTGCCACGGGAGCTCCTCTGCCGTGGGACCACGTCCCAGGGGCAGCCCACCGTCTCCTTGCCATGTGCCTTGTACCGGC